CATCTTTTCCCTCCTTGCTCTCTTCTCATCTTCCCTTCTTTTTCTGTCTTTCCTCTTTTCCTTTTTCCTTTCCCTTCCTTCCCTCTTCATTCTTTTTTCTTCCTTCTATTCTTTCCATCTTTTCCCTCCTTGCTCTCTTCTCATCTTTCCTTCTTTCTCTTTCTCTTCCTCCTTTCCTGTCCCTTCTTGCATGCTCAAATGCAAAAGGGGAAACGTTTCTCCTTTTGTTTTGTTTTTAGTTTGTTTTGATAGCCCTCTTCCAGTGAAAACAGAGCTCGGGGTGGAGGGTGGGGAAGAGGCGCAGACGGCCAAAAATGGGGTGCAGGGTGAGCTCCATTTTTTCTGGCAGAGGCACCGTGGGGTGGTCCTTTGCTGTTTCCAGGCTGGCCACGTGGGCCGGATCTAAGTATACCGCGGGCGGGAACCGGCCCCTGGGCCTTGAGTTTGACACCCCTGGTCTAAAACATGCAATCACAACAGACCCCACAGTCCTTCTCCTCTTCCTCCCCCATTCTCTTCTAGCACTGATGATGTTACCTAGTTGGGTCATGAAATGTCTGCAAGAAAACCACCAAGCTCAGAGAGCACCGAGGACCCCACAATATTCCTCCTCCTTCCTTCTAGCACTGATGACGTTACCTAGTTTGGGTGATGAAATGTCTGCAAGGAAACCACCAGACTCAGAGAGCACAAAAGGACCCCATTGTACTTCTAATCTATCCTGAGAGCCTGCAGTCAAGACGGATACTGTACAGCAAGCAACACACTCTTTCTTGCAGAGATAATCTTTTTAAAGCTCAGCAATATGTAGCCGAGACTTAATGTACGCTGCAGGGGATCTGCAACATAAACAGCTTTCTTCCTTTCTTCCCAGCTTGTGTGAGGTTGCTTTGACCAGGTAGCACCACCAGCCAACGCCACTCAAAATTGCTGCTGTTAAAATGGAGATGTTTTACAGAAAAAGCTATCTCCTTACAGAAATGAAACAAGGGGATAAGCTAAACACTTGGCATTCGGCTGAGCTGTTGAGATAACACCCAGCTTTGTGGCTGGAAACATTTTCTCCCAATCACAACAGTGTCCAATTCTGTTATCAACTGCAAACCTTGGTCCTTAATCTCCAAGTCTCTGCCTTGAGATACAAGGAGGGGAGAAAGTACATGCTGGCTGAAGAAGGAAGAGGGAAAAAAAGGATAATTTCAGTGGAAAGAGTAGGTGATGCTTCTTATCTGACTCAATCCATTCTTTTTTTTCCTCTAGCAAAGAATAGGCCTCTTAGTAGTTTGCACTGGAAAGAGCTTCACAGGTCCACCATGGACTGGTTGGTGTCCTTCAACTTCATACTGTAAGTTATGTTGGCAGAGCTATGGGCTCACATTGTAGCCTCAGCCTTCTATCCTTCCAAGCTTGGTAAAATGAGGACCCAGATTGTTGGGGGTAAGATGCTGACTATAAACTGCTTAGAGAGGGCTGTAAAGCACTGTGAAGCGGTATATAAGTCTAAGAGCTATTTCTCTCTCTCTCTCTCCCCCTCCCTCCCTCTCTCCATGTCTGTCTCTCTGTCTCTCATCCACCCACCCACCCATTCATCCATCTATCCGAATTCAGTACTGCAGACTAATTCTGCCCACAAACTGCAATTCGATCTTGACCAGCTCAAGGTTGACTCAGCCTTCCCTCTTTCCGAGGTGAGTAAAAGGAGGACCCAGATTGTTGAGGGCAATGGGCTGTGTAAATTACCCAGAGACGGGTGTAATGCACTGTGACGTGGTATGTAAGTCTAAGTGCTCTTGCTATTCTCTGTCTTTCCTTGCACAGTGGTTAGAATGCAATATTGCAGGCTAATTCTGCCCACTGCCAGCAGTTTGATCCTGACCGGCTCAAGGTTGACTCAGCCTTTCATCCTCCTGAGGTGGGTAAAAGGAGGACCCAGAGTGTTGGGGGAAATAGGCTGGCTCTGTAAACCACTCAGAGAGGGCTGTAAAGCACTGTGAAGCGGTATATATGTCTTAAGTGCTAAATGCTATTGCTATCCTCCTGTTCCTCTTTGGTCAAACAGTCCCTTTGAGATTTCAGCACCTTGATTGCTTGGACAGCTCCTTTGTTGTTGTTAGTTGCGAAGTGATGTCCGATCCATCGCAGCCCCATGGACAATGTTCCTCCAGGCCTTCGTGTCCTCTACCATCCTCTTGAGTCCATTTAAGCTTGTGCTGACTGCTTCGGTTACCCTAACCCTAACCCTATTGCTACAATTACACCACTTTAAAAAAAAACATGAAGATGGGATACACATCGGGCAAACGAATAAGTAAAGAAGCCAATTCTAAGGAGGGCAAAGATTGAATGAGAAGAAAGAATGGCTCTGCTTCTAACCCCACACCAGGAGGGACATGAAGCGCTTCAGATCGATGCATGCACAGGAGGATGTGACTGCAGCATCTGTTGGGGTTATTGTGAAAAATTCATTAGTTTTCATTATAGGGAGGGAGGAAGGAGGGGAATTCAGCCTGGCTTAATTTACAGCAGGACCTCCTTGCCCTCTGCAGACAAAGGCGGCTCTGACTCGGCTGCACCGGAAGAGCCTTGGACCGAGTCTTGATAAATAGAGATCAGCCGATATATCATGATTGCTCAAATCTGACTCTTCTCACATCGGATACCCGAAGAACCGACGTGCTGTTAACGTCATCCTGTTTCAGAGTCGCATGCTCGGAATTTACAGGCTGGCAAAGAATATTTTGAGCTTGCAAGGTGTTCTGACCCAGCTCCCCAAACAGGACAAACCCTCTGCAGTTAAATCAAGGACTCCTTTATGAGGAGCGCCAGCAGCCCCGGCAAAAGGTTTCTCTCTCACCGCAGGCTAACAAGTCTGTCCGGCAGGGAGATGAATAGTTGTCTGCCACACCTATTCATCTCTGCCCCGCCTTTTATCCCCAGAGCTAGGGTGGGGCTTCACTAGCAGCAGTGGCTCTTCTGTCCCAAGGACTGGCCCATAGATTTCCACTGTTCTCCTCTCCTCTGCCTTCTGCACGTCAGGCACTGGACCCAGCTCTTCCTCCTCTTCCTCATCAGCCACCTCCAGGCCTGGGGGCTGTTGACTCTCCATCCGAGGGAGTTAAGGATAGCCCAGACTCTACCTCTGCCTGCCAGTGTCAGCTCCATTCCCTCTTCCCCCTCGGAGCTCTCAGGCTACCCTGATGCTGACCCTGACTCCCACATCTCCTCCTCCTCTGATTTGGCTGCTGGAGGGCCACAAGACAAGGATGGCTATTCTAGAGACACCAATGTTGAGTTGATTATCTGCCTGAGACTGAAGGCTCTTCCTGGGGGCAGGCGTGGATTCCCCTAGGGGCCAAATCAACGAGGGGAGAAATCTGGCCCTCTTAATTAATTAAGAACCCTCAATTCTTGGGCCACTGTACAGGTAGTCTTAAGGGGTGCATTTCCCTGGGTGGTGCTTTAAATGCACATTGAAAAAAGGCAAACTGAGAACGAGACACACGCAAATAAAACCAGACAAGCCGTCCTCGAATTACAACCTCAACCGAGCCCAACACTACCGTTGCTAAGTGAGACAGTTGTTGTGAATTTTGCCCCATGTTATGAGCTTTCTTGCCACCGTTGCAAAAGCGAATTCTTGCAAGGTGTTAAGTTAGGAACACGGCAGTAAAGTGGACTCCACTTTGCTCGCTAGGAGGTTGTAAAAAGGGGAACACGTGACCCCAGGGCACTGCAACTGTCATAAGTATGAACCAGTGACCAAGTGTCTGAATTTTGATCATGGGGATGCTGCAACGGCCGTTAAGTGTGGAAAAACTAAGTCACTTTTTTTTCAGTGCTGTTGCAACTTTGAACGGTCACTAAATGAACTGTTCTAACCTGCAACTTTTAAGTTGGGGCTGAAGGACAGGAGTTAAGATCTCCAGCATGTATCTCACTACTCTTTTACAATGATGGATGTAAACGGGTATGCATTCCTCCGTAGAGAAGGTAGGACGTAAGGGAAGCATGCATCCACAGGGTAGCCCACAGAGCATATTTTAAAACCTTGGGCAATGGAGATGGACGGAACTTCCTTGTTCCATAATAAACATTACCCTCCTTGGGAAGCATCTTCCCTATCAGGGCCGTTTGCATTCCTCCTAACCGAAGCCTCCTAAATCAGAGAATAATTCGAGCCATAAAGATGCTGAAAGGCGCCCAGTCTCACTCCTGCTTCTTTCTATATATCACTCTCCTGGATTCGTGTCTCAGTCTGCCAGCATTGTCTCTTTTGCTTTCTGGCTGGTTTATATTTGCAATGATTAACAAAATTGGGATCCGTGCTCAGAAGCGTCTACTGAAAGGATGTCAAAACAACAACAACAATAATCATTACCATCCAAATAAATATCTCAGTTTTTATGCCCTTTGGAATCGGGGTCTCAATGCTGCAACCTAATTTCACTGCTCATCTGTAATGAAAAAGGGGTCAGCGAATCTCCTACAAAACCTACGCAAGGAAGATAATAGGGGTTTTTTCCTAGTCCCTTTAGTAAAATTGATGGAGAAAGCATCCTGAAGAATGTCTGGCCTCCTTTTTTAAAAAAAACAAACCAAACCAAAAAAAAAACAAACCCAAACATGTCCTTGTTTAGTGAATGCCTCTTTTAGCGACCATTCACAGTGGTGACGTTGATGAAAAAATAACTTTGTCACTGACCCACCCACCTATGAGCTTTAAAAGTCTGTAAACCTGAAAGAAAGCGGAAGATGGTAAGGCGTGGTTTCACTTTGCGACTGGTTCACTTAATAGCCGTGCTGCTGGCCTCAACTGTGGCCGTTAAATGAGGACTAACTTATATTTTATAAGCAAATGGAGAAAGTGATGTGAAGAACTGGACAAAGCCACGTAAACCAAGAAAGCCTCAGGATGCGCATTCTGGAGCAACACAGGTATGCTGCAAGCACAATAGTGTACCTGGAACGGGTGCGCCTTCTGCTGATGCCAGGGCTGTTGCTCACACGGTAGGCAGTCGGGACGCTCCTCTCTTCTCGATGCCTTTCAGGGGTGTGCGCCCGTCTTCTCGGCGATCTTGAGCGAGACCTGAGTGGGCGACGTAAGAAAATTAAGTTCAGCTTGGAAGGATTTTGAGTTTCTTGATAGGGGCACGCCACCAGGATTATCAAAGAGGAGTACAAATTCCGGCAGATCCATATAAAAGGAGAAAATGTGGGTTTGTTACACTGTGAATACATAAGGAAAGAAAGAATGAAAGAAGGAGGAAGAAAGGAAGGGGAAAAAAGAAAGAGAAAGACAGAAAGAAAGAAAAAAGAGGAAAGAAGAGAAAAGAAAGGAAATAGAAAAGAAAGAAAAAATGAAAGAGAAGAAAAAAGAAAAAGAGGAAGGAAGGGAATAAAAAGAAGAAAGAAAGAAGACAGAAAGAAAAGAAAGAAGAAAAGAAAGGAAGAAAAGAAAAAAAGACCACGAGATACGCAGCATGGGGGTGTGATCCCCGAAGATGCCTTATCCACTCACTTCCCCCCCCCCCCCGGACTTACTGTTTTTAAAATCCCAAACAAAATAATTCAGCCTTTAAGTGGTTAAAAAGGCAGGACGCAGATTATTAAGTGCTCTCCAGATGCAAAACAAATCATACTGGAACTGATTTTAGCCAAGAGGGTCGATTTTATTTTGTGCGGCAAGCAGGACAACATAAAGCTCCTCCTTTAGGATAGGAACTTGTCCCAGGGAGCTGACAAAAAAACCAAATTTGCTTGTGAAATGTTGGCCTCAGCCCAGCCTTCCAACCAAAAAGTACTTAGAACTTGCCAGAGGGGAAGGAAAGCGAGTGAGTTTTTTTGAAGCTGCTTAATATCAGAGAGTCTTAGCAGCGCTTCTGAATTAAATTGCTAAAAACCTTTTGTGGCCCACCAGCGGCTAGAGGAGCTGGCGGCAGACTCAGATAGTGAGGAGGTTGGGGAGGAACGTGGGCCAGTCGTGGAGTCTGGGGAAGGCTCCGATGAGAGTTCTGTGTCGGAAGCAGAGATGGGGTCAGGGCCGTCTGCCAGTTATCAGCTGCCTTCGGAGTTGGAGATCAGTGGGGCAGAAGAACATCTGGAGCCTCTTCCCAGTGTGCGCATGCGCACA